CGAGAACACGACCGACACAGGGAACCTCTCAAGCGCTCGACCAGAGCAGGGCGATGATGACAACCTCACCATTACAGTGGCCAGCGTGCACAATCCGGACTTCGATTTTGGGACCTCGGTCGCGGTCATAGATCCACCCACAGAGAGTAATGACGACTTCGATGGTAACGAGCTTCTGGCCTCAGTTCCGACACAGCCGACGCATACCAATAGCATCGACAGGCCAAACCCAACGGATGCAAATTTATTTGAAGGGAACAGTCTGTTCTCGCCTTTGGTGGGAGATGCAGGCCGCACACCGCGAGAAATGCTCACCGCAGCCATGGCCTCGCAACAACCATTGGAAAGTGACCTCTCGGTCATTCTTGGATTCGCGCCCCGGGCGGCCTTTGGCGCCTTGAGTCATAACCGGGCTTTAGACTCCGATAACCTCGGATGGCTTTCCACATTTGACGCCGCCGTTCCTTCTCCACCAAACAGCACGAATCCGTGGGATGCCTTCCTCATCTCCTTGGGTTCGCCCCTAATAAGAGACTTTCAGGGGAATTCGGCCCGCAAACATAGCTTCGGCTCCGACATACCAGACGAGCGGTTCGCGAAAGTGGCCAGGCTGTGGCCAAAAAGGAGGGAGCGGCCGTGGTATATGATACAGACCCTTTGGCATGACGCCGCCAACCATGAAGGCACCAACCTCTTCTCTGAATCTCCACCAGGTGAAAGGGATGATAACTCCCCGTCCATGCGGACAAACGGCCCTCAGAGAGGCCTGGACGACGACAGGCGTCTATCACTAATCAGAGACCTATCACTACCTCGATTTGGCGGAGTAAGTATTCAACCGCGACGAGCTTTCTCTGGCCTGAGCTGATGCTGACATCTGCCAGGATGACAACGATCAGAGCCTTCAGAATAAATCTGGCCTTCCGACGGCAGACACCTTTGCCGTATGCATCGATCTCTACTTCCAGCGATTTCATCCACTGTTCCCATTTATCCACGAGCCCACGTTTTCGGCCAGGCGCACACCAAACATTATTCTCCTCCCAATATGTCTGATTGGGCTCCATCTATTGGACCCGGATAAGACGAGGCCGTTTGTGATCACTCAGGTTCTAGTAAGACTGGCCTTGAAGTATTTGTGTCTTACCCTCGATGTCATGGTACTGATCTGTATGGTCTGGTAGAGAGGAATTGAGAGGTGTACGACCGCACTAGCAAGGCCTTGGAAACGAAACGATTCCATGTCTCTCATTACCGTTCTTGGCTCTGCAATCTTGTATCTCAACTTTGCGTCAATTCTCGAAGTAAGTGCCGCTGATGGCTCCTTGTTGGTTAAGTTTCTGACCTTTTGCAGGAAGTTGCGCATTCAGAACTGACACACGCACTCTACGCTAAAGCCTTGACTGTGAGTGAAAATAATTTCAAAGCCTTCAATGCGGCCAATGCATCAATTGATCAACATCAAAGCTAACACCCTTCAGGTCGCCCAACAGAGCGGCCTTTTCGAGGTGAGCAGGGGCCCCTCCATCTGCGAGGCGCTGTCACAAGAACGCCAAACGGACGCCGCTTGGAAGTCTTGGGCGCGGATAGAATCAGCCAAACGGTAAATCGTCCCTCCCCTGCATCAAGTCGCGTCTCTGGCGCTCAGTTGGGAGACTTTTGTTGACGCTTGCAACAGTGTGGTGGCGTACCTTGTTGTAACCGACTGCTTGTACACGTCCAGCATCGGGCCAAAACCCATGACACAAGTGGATATGCTCCATATCCATGCTCCTTGCCCTGAAAATCTATTTGACGCAGTAGATGCAACTAGCTGGGCAAAGCTTGCGTCCATGTCACCCGCCACCTTCATAGATCCACCTGTCCTGGACTTCCAGGGCCACAAGGCAACACTCCCGACGACGCTGTCCGCCAGCGTGATGGGCATGCACACATTACTATCAGCCACTTGGCTCTACATCGCCGACCTCCGCTACCGTACTCTGCCATCTAGCTCCGATCCGCTCAGGAACAGCCTGTACCCTGGAGAGATATTCCAGGAAAGCTCGACGGGGGCCGCCATAGCACCTCTTCTCCGGGAAATCTACGCCTCAGACCACGAGGGTCTGCTTGCCGGTGACCCCAACGCCATGGCCTTCTGGAACAACATGTGCGTCAACCTGACGGCCAATCTCGACCTGTTCGAGATCGCGGCTGGGCGCGAGGGCATGGAGGCAGGCAAGACGGCGCTCGAGAAAGTTTTCGTCTGGGCGCAGACCGCGCATGCGAGGCGCGCTTGTCTCCATGCCGCCCAGGTCTATGTCTGCATGGCTAAGAGGAAGATATCAGACGGCACCATGTTCATGTCGGAGATTGCACTGTTCAACGCTGCGCTCGTGTTGGGGCTGTACGTGTATGCGGCGCCAGACACGCTCGAAACTGGCACAGAGACACCACTGGAACTGCTTGACGAGGTGGACTGGAATCAGATTGGGGACGAAGGTCTCCCCGGATGGAACATGGAGCAGAACGACTGCAGTTATGCGGCGAGGAGGTTCATCAGCGAAGGAGGTGCCATTTCGTTCAATCGATATGTTTGCATCGGGGGGTATGCCTCGGCGCGAAGGGTGATTCTAAACTACGTGGGCCTTCTGGAAGAGGTCGGGAGGTGGAACTGGCGACGGTTTCGTCACATATTACGAGTGATGAGCGATAGCATGGTGGAACTGGCATGAGAATAATGAAAAGGAGATTGGATTGAGTACAGTTTTGTGCTCTAGTACTTTCACATGGCCTGCTATATCAACAATTTGCTGCCGAAACTTTCACTCAGTGGCACAATATCGCATATCTAGTCACGCAACTTGGCGTTGTGGTAGAACTCGCGACGAGCCCGCTCAGCAGCTTCGTCTTCCTTCACCTGCTTCAAGAGTTCCTGGATCCTGGGGTTGGTGGAGAATCGGTCCTAAAGGGTTGCAAGACACATGGTCAGTCCGGCTGTTGCAGCAAGTAATGGGGTGTTTTGTTTCACATGATATCAGGGGCGGCTACGTACTGGTAGATTATCCCATGCGCTGGCATCCGTTCCCTCGGCCTCAAGGACACCACTATCCTTGCGGGCCCATTCAGTGAAGAGGAGAGTCCTGCTGGTTTCCACCATGACAGTCATTTGCTCTACAACTGCTGTCAGTAATGTCCAGTATTGCATGCTGATCACGTCAAAGACCGAAGGACCTACCTTCCAAGATACGTCTAGGCTGGTTCGTCTGCACCTTGTGTTCCTCGATGTAGCGTTCATCAAAGCCTCCGTGAGGTGTGTGGCCGCCCTCGTAACTGCCGCCGCCTGGCTGGAAGTCATTCGACCGGCCCAAACCGTTGCCATAAAGGCAGGTCAGGAACTCCGAGGCGGAGTTGCGATGGAAATACGGCGGGCGGAACGAGTTCGATGCAACGTCCCAGCGAGGGCCGAACCACAGGAAGTCAACAAGGGAAGTGTTAGGGTCCCTCGACTTGGCACTGAGAACAGTATTGATGGAGGGATCGGTATGGTCGACTGACGTGGCGTTTTGCGACACAAACTTTGTAAGATCGTACTGTAAAATCGGTTAGCATGTCTCATGATCTTGTTGAATTAGTGGCACTCTTACCTTGTAAGGCACCGAATTACCGTGCCACGCAACCACATCAAAGGGGCTGTGGTTCTGCTTGATGCCGACATGCTTTCCATTGTTCTTCACTACGATGGTGAAGTCGCGATGAAGGTCTTCGTCAATGTGAGCTTTCGGATACAGGAAGTCGCGCGCGTTGGCCAGGCCGTAGCCTCCAATGGGGCCCAGGTCCGGCAGCTCCCAAGTTGAGCCCCAGACCTCAACGATGAAGCCGCGCGCGACAGGAACATCGGCAGCCAAGTCAATGCGGAAGCGGATGCCCCTCTGGATGACACAGATCTCTCCGGGTTGAAGGAAGAGCCTTCCCATTTCCGTTTGGATTTCGAGGTTTCCGAGCTGGGCTACAAGAAGGAAATCGCCGTCGATGTTGCAGTAAGCCTTGCCGGGCATGTTTTTGTTGAAGGCATAGACGTAGAGGGCGACACCCTCACGCAGGTTCGGGTCACCGCTGCCGGCTAGTGTCTGCAGTCCATCGGTAAAGTCGATCTGGTCATCGGCAGCAGGCAGGGGAAAGGGTTTCCATTCTGCTTGTGCCGGGATCGTTTCGACCTTGGTGTTCAGAGACAAGAAGCAGTTCTCGATGTTTGACCTCGTTTCTAGGTCAACGTAACCAGAATGCGCTGCCGATGGCCTGGCACGATACATGTAGGTATTCTGGTTGGCATGTCGAGGGGCCGCAAAAAAGGACGACGTCAGACCCTCGGTGTAAAGGCCGAAGCCTCGGTCTTGAGGGTTGTTCTGTGCAATAGGCAGAGCTCCGGGAATCACCTCGGACTGGTGTCTATTGTTCCATCCTGCGAAATATTCGTAGGGATCATTGGCGCGAGTAGGTTTTGACCGCTGAAGATCGGTGTAGTGGAAGATCTTCTGAGGATCAGTGGCGGCAACCCGTTCTTCGATAGTCATGATGTCAGGCTGTTTCTTCAAGTGCTTTGGTATGTCTATCTTCTGGGAGCTAGATGTCTCCAAGTGCTCTAGAGCATTATGTAGACAGCTCAGGTCGGCTTCCCAAAGTTAGAAGTTTGGGACCAGTGTGTGGGGTCAACCCATCTCCTCATACTCCTCCTCCTTGCCACGAGACATCTCCAAACATGATTGATACACCAAAGTATGATCATAGGTGGCTGACGTCTGCTGGTGAGGAGAGAGCGTGGGGAGCTGTCGAGATGTGTCTCCCCACATTCCGGCCCCACCATGGTTGCGTACGGGGGTGTTGGAGCCTCTCCACCACCCGGCCCCTCGGGAATCTACACATGAGACTTCTCCCACATGGAGTTCGGATGCATGAAGTGGCAACCATCTTGTGCTCTTGATTCGTTAGATGGTACTTTCTGTGTTCCTTACCATGTTCTAAGTGGGGTGAGCTCCGTGTTTAGTCACCATAAGTTCCCCCAATCTTTTCTCAATTGCAGTCAGCTAGTTCATGGTACCGACAGAGGTTCACCGGGTTTTTCTAGACATTGGGAACACCCATCTCTCGCGAACATGAATGCCCTTCAACGAGTCACTCGCCAATTGGCAAGGGTGTCTGTACGAACCATGCCCAGAATGAATCAACCTCCCAGGCGCCTTCTGGGCAGTGTCAGTGCGCTCGATTCGGTGCTTTACCGAAGCATGTTTGGCACCGACGAAGCTCGAAAGGTGTGGCATTTCGCTTTGTGTACACGAAGCACTGGAAGCAATCGAGAAGCTGACCTCATTTGGATCTCCGTTGCAGATCTTTAGCGACGAAGCCTACATCAAGAGCTGCGTGGACGTCGAGACGGCGTTGGCCAGGGCGCAAGCCAAATGCAATGTCATCCCGCAAACCGCGGCCGAAGCCATCACCTCCACAGCAGACGCCTCCAAGCTCAACTATGATCGACTCGCCAATGAGACAGAGATTGTCGGCTACCCCATCCTACCCCTCATCCGACAACTCACAGACCAGTGCGGCGAGGCTGGCAAATACCTACACTGGGGCGCAACAACGCAAGACATCATGGACACGGCGTCAATGCTGCAGATGAAGGCTGGCCTTGACCTCGTCGAGACCAAGCTGCGAAGCGCCATCAGGGCGTTGACCAAATTGGCCGAAGAGTACCGAGATGCGCCCATGGCTGGACGTACTCATCTGCAGCATGCTCTTCCGGTCACATTCGGCTACAAGTGCGCATCTTGGCTCAGCGGCCTTCAGAGGCATCTAGAGCGCATACAGCAACTGCGACCGCGCTGTCTGCTTGTTCAGTACGGTGGTGCGGCCGGAACACTCGCCTCTCTGGGCAATGGCAGCGAAGGCATCGAGGTGCGCAAGCAGCTCGCGGAGGATCTTGGTCTCCACGACCCTTCCATGACGTGGCACGTCGCGAGGGACGGTGTCGCCGAAATCATCAACACGCTTGCCCTGATAGGAGGATCCCTGGGCAAGGTCGCGCTGGATCTCATCATCATGTCCTCCAACGAGGTGGGTGAGGTCATGGAGCCTTTCGTACCGCACCGCGGCGCTTCTTCCACCATGCCACAGAAGAGAAATCCCATATCGAGCGAGCTCATCTTGGCGGCGTCCAAGCTGCTGCGCGCAAACGTTGGGTTGGGCTTGGACTCGATGGTCGCCGACTTTGAGCGGGCTTCGGGTCCTTGGCATCTCGAGTGGGTGGCCGTTCCTGAGAGCTTCGTCCTTGCTGTTGGAGCCCTTCATCAAGCAGAGTTTGTCTTCTCCGGCATGACGGTTGATCGGGAACGTCTACTTCACAACCTGAACTCCACGGACGGTCTCATCGTCGCTGAAGCTGTCATGATGGGCTTGGCGCCATACCTCGGCCGACAGAACAGCCACGACGTCATTTACGAGGCCTGCAAGACTGCCATAGAGACAAAGGCCACTTTGTACGAAGTTTTGAAGAGGAATAGCGAGGTTGTTACGCTGCTCGGCGACGACAAGTTGCAGGAGATGTGTGACCCCAAGAACTATTTGGGAGCTAGTACACAAATGGTAGATACTGTGACCGCCTTGAGTAGGAGTCTTGGGGTTTGATACTGAGCATCCCGGCAAGGTGGCAATTAGACAGGGAATGAGTAGACAATACAGTTCAATGGGCTTTCATGTGGTATTCTCATTGGGGCGTTACTGTCGCATCTGAACCTACCTACCTACCTGCCGTATCATCCACGCCCGCAAGCATTGAAACCAGGCTCGTATTGCCCTGGTCTGATCACATGTGCAACTTGTGCATAGGAAGGTGGCACATTTGTACTGGCGTAATGCATAGTGTAAGGCCTGAGAAATTACTCGAAATTTGGGACGTTGGGACACATGGGTCAACACGAGCTGGTCGAAAGGTTCATGGCCTCGTCCCAGCATGACAGCAGTGACCAGCAAGTGTAGACCCGTTCATTCCCGGAATTGCAAAATTGCAGTGGATTGACAATTATAATCTCACCAATACGTTGTATCTCATGCCACGCTCCGTTTGTACAGTAGACCAATCTCCCCCGTAGGCTACGCCAACAAAACACATGCATGAACCGCTTCTAAACCAGCCAGATTCCATCAAAAGAGTGTCGAGGGGGTATCGCCTCAATCAACCAATCGTCTTGGGCTCGCGCCTATCCTCAACGGCGGCAACCTCCACATCAGAGCTTCCGGGACCGTCGCCGTGCAGCCTCTTCTCCGCGCCCCTCGACAACATGGCTGCCGCAACGTGGTTGGTCATGTGCTCATGAGGGTCCTTGATCCACAGGGAGCAAATGAAGGCGACCACACTGAAGGGGATGGTGATGTAGAAGAGGAACTTGAAGGCGCGACCGTAGGCGAAACGCACGGCCTCTCTGAGTGTGTCCCGGATCTCGGGCGTCATACCAGCGATGCCTTCGAGACTCCCTGGGACATCAAGATTATAAGTAATGGCACCGGGAATAATGGCGCCCAAGTCGGCGGGGTTGAGTCCGCTGGCGAGGGCGGCCTTCACGACCTCCTCGCCTACGTAGTCGTTGAACTTGTTCTGGAAGACAGAGTTGAAGATTGCGTTTCCGACGGCGCCACCAGCGGATCGGAACGTTCCGAGAAGGCCCATGGCCACGCCGAGATGGGCGTGAGGAACGTGGAGACTGGCCACGGCGTAGCCGACAATGGTGCAGAGGAGGAACATGGGAACACCGATGGCAGGGACGAAGGCCCAGGCGAGCTTGTGGTTCGGGGCCACGGTAGCGGCGCCGGCACCGATGAACACGGCCTGGAAGCCAGCGCCAGCGACGATGAGCCACTTGAGGTGACCAATCTTGTGGGCCAGCATGGGGATGACAACACCAGGGAAGAGACTCCAGATGTTCGTGGGCAGTGAGAGCACGCCAATCTCGATGGGGTCGGTCGTGAACATGAAGAGCGAGCCCTGAGGTACCAGAGCCGAGAGGGCGTTGAAGTTCATGCCGCAGATGAATAGGACGATCAGGAGAAGAGTGAAGCCACGCCACATCTTGAAGAGCTCAAGAGGGAACAATGGGTCCTTGGCGTAGTTGAACTCCCAGGTAAAGCAAGCGACGAGGCCGGCGAAACCAACCAAGATGGGCGTCAGGGTGCTGGCGCTGTCCCAAGGGTGTTCAGGCGTGCCGCCCCAGGTGATTCCAACAAGGCACGTCGCGAGACCCAGGGTAAAGAGAGTGATGCCGATCCAGTCGATCTCTTTGAACTGCTGCCACCGAGTCTTGTCGAAGTCGCCCCTCGGATGGGTTGTCGGCCAGTAGAAGATGGCAGTTCCGATCAGGGAGATGGTCTCGGTAATGATGCCGATGTAGAAGATCCACCGCCATGTCGCATACTTGTAGAAGATGCCGGCGATAAGAGCCGTGATGACACCCCTGTGGTAGAAGTTTCAGATTTAGCCAGTCTTCTTTCCAGCGTGGCTTGAAGCTTGGAGGGCTATTCAACGTACCAGGGCACGGTAATTCCACCTTCCAGAATACCCACGCCAACAGCCCGCCACTTGTTAGGCAGCATCTCAGGGACACCGGCGTAAGCAACAAAGATGAATCCTGTACCGAGACCGATGACGGTCTCAGCTGCGATCAGAGCAGCAACGCTCTGAGCTGTTGCTCCGACGATGGACCCAATCAACGTGACGAATTGGCCACCCAGAATCATGTTCCTTCGGCCAAAGATGTCACTCAGGGGCCCGCCGAGCGAGAAGGAGACGGCGGTGGAAAGAGACCACGCGCCAACGATCCAGGCGAACGGCGCGTCGTTGCCCAGGTCGTTACTGACCTGGACAACAATTGCTGCTATGACGACGAACGCGAGCGCAACGCCGGGACCAAAGGAGGCTGCCATGAACTGTGCAAGCAAACCCATTAGCCTCTGTATCGACTCGCTCGTTGTTCGAACAGGGCTGCTCAAAGTCTTGGGATACTTACAAAAATGGCGGCCCAGACTCTCCATCCAACCTTGACTTCCTCGTCCGGGTTGTCATATTGAACAGGCGCACCGGCGTCTTCGACACGCCGCTGCGTGGTTTCGCCGTCTTTCGACATGGTGAACGTATGTTTTCTTGAGTGATTAGTGTGAAACTTGGGATTTCCAGAACCGAAAGTTGCTCAAGCTTGACAGCAAAGGAATCAACTCGGGCACTGAGGGTGACGATGTGTGTGAGTTATACTTGAGTCTTTCGTGGCATTGCGTTCCAATGCTGCCCCAGATTCAGCCGCTGGTCTCGGCACGTCCATAACCCCAAACGCGCTATAGCTAACCCCGTGGTCGTCCCACTGCCGTACCCTCCAAGGCGAGCGCTCCAGCTACTCCAGACTGTGGGGTCTGGGGAATATGTGGTCTGTGGGGGAACAAAGCGTGTGGGGAAGCCCTGGGAGAGGGCGCGGAACTTCAGGGAGAGTGAGGATTCGTGAGGATTCGTGAGGGGTAAACTTTCCGCCAGCCAAGCCACGAGGCCAGGGTTGGCGTGCCTCTATTGACTTGTGAGGGCCAAACACTGACCCGGCAGGCCCAGCGCTGAGGACAGACAAGTGCCGTGCTACGCCTCGCGTCGCGTCGCCGCACCCCCTGGTCTTCTCGGTAGTTCTTCACCGAACGATGCCGTTTTGTATGTGAATTCGGATCTGGTCGCAATCTTTCGGATCGAGGTCAATAGCCTGTGGGGCTTTGCATTATGCGTCAGGACCTGGTCCCTATCTGGACACTCCAAGGTTTGTCGCAGCAACAGCACCACCACCGCTTCGGTTTCCTTCGCCAAGAAATCGGTCACGTTGCCATGATCTCTGCCCTGGCGACGGATGAGCAAGCAATAATTCATCGGGCTATGCTCTTGCTGGGTAGGCAGGTTGCCACTACCACCACACGCATCTGAATCAGCTGTGCAGGATACCAAAGAGCCCAATGCCCTGCTGCCAGTGTAATTTTTCCGAGGTTTCCGAGATGCCGAAATGTGTCCATCTCTACCATCAGTAACAAGAAATTCATCCATTACTGATCAATGCTGGCGATGACTGTGCTAAATCGGAGTCTTGCAATCTCTCGAAATGTAGAGAATCCCCAACGGAGAAGACGAGTTCCCCGGCGGTGTCACCCCTTAGCTTCGCCCTTATCGTCCGTTCCCTCAGCTGAGGACCCCTAGACGCTTGATCTGCCATCTGACGCACAGACCTGACGATCTCTATGTGACAGAATCAGGAGGTCGGGATATATTGCTTAACAATGATCAGCATGGATTGAGAGTTCGTTCTTCGCATGGTACACATGGCGAACATCAGTTTCGTCTATCTGCGAGAAACCATCAAGCGAGAACTATATTGCGTGCTCCTCCGCAGTCGAAAAAGCTACAATTGATTTCCCTCTACATTACTTATACGGGTATCGGAACTGCCGCGAGGCGAGCGTTCCGAGGAAGGCTTGTTATGACTCTCCGAGCCAAAAAGCATCACCTCTACGTGAAATACTAGGAAAACCAAGAATTTCTTCCCCAATCGCAAAGTTGAATCGGACATCGCGTACAACAGAATATCAATGTTGGATTTTCAAGTTTATCGTCACTGAAGCGCAACCCCCTAACCCCAAGCACCATCTGACCACTTGTCTTTCAATCAAACGATACGAGCTGTCCCTCACAAAGTTCTTCCCCGCGACATATGACGTTTCACCACGAGCCCTGATAGTTTGGTCAGCAAGCTTCTCGAAAGCAAGAGGACCTAGTACTCACGCCCGAGAGAATAGCGGTGGCGGCCTAGAGAAAGAGTACCGTTAGCATGTTGTTCGTGTGTTTCGTCAAAGTGTGTGAACCTACCTTTTCGGCGAGTGCGTAAACAGTGCTAGACGTGTGCGAAGCAGGAAGCAGCGGAATAACACTGGCGTCGACGACGCGGAGATTCTTGACACCGTGAACGCGGAAGTTAGAGTCCACAACTCCGCCGGCGTTCTGGGGACCGACGCTGCAGGTGCCGGCATAGTGAGCAAATGAAGCAAGGTTCTGGCGGATGTACTGCTCAATGTCCGCATCAGTCGCGACGGTCGGTCCCGGGAACACCTCGAAGGGCGCGAGAGGCGCGATGGCGGTTGTGTTGGCAATTCTCCTCGCAAGCTTAAAGCCGTCGACCATGATGGCCAGGTCAAGAGGATTGGTCAGATAGCCAGGATCGACAGCGGGCGGTGTAAGAGGGTTATTCGACACGAGTTTCACGGAACCCCGGGAGTAGGGGTGTTGCACTCCAGAGACAACAGTGCCTTCATTCCAGAAGATCTCGAGGGGGGTCTGGGCGTCTGAGGAGAGGCCGGCCGTGAGGAGCCTGTGCTGCTTGGTGAAGCTCTGGCGGACAGAATCAGGGTAATCAGCAGGCAGGAACTGGCCGACGGTCTGAGATTGAGCAGCTTGACGCAGCGCGGCAGGCTGGGAGCTGAAAGTCGATATGGGAAGGAACATGATAAACTCGGCATTGGCATTAGCATACGGGCCAGTGCGGTTGCTCTTGTATAAGGCCAGTGCCTCGCTTGCAAAGGTCGTGTCGGAAAGGTTGGCGCTGCTGAGAGGCGCGGTGACTGGAAAAAGTTAGTTCTGAGACCGAAAGACTTGAGATTGTTGAGCTTGTTGAGATGGGACGTACTAGCATTGACAGCAACAACAAGAGGGTGGTCCTGGAGGTTGCGACCGACGGCTGGGAGGTCAACGACAGACTTGATACCCTGAGCCGCTAGGTCCTTGGCATCGCCGATGCCTGAAAGCTGAAGAATCTGTGGCGAGAAAACCGCACCAGCAGAAACAATGACTTCCCTCCAAGCCTTGACGACCTTGGTGGTCGAAGTTTGTGTATCGATGTACTGAAGGCTGGTTAGTCTTGTGGTTGCCACTATTGGAGAAGGTCGCACAAACCTCGACTCCGACAGCCTGACCGCGCTCGACCTGGATCTTCGAACCATGGGCATATTGGATGAGCTTGAGGTTGGGCCGCTTAGCCGCAACGTCGTAGTGCGCGGTACGTCCGGAGCTTCGTGTGTTCTCCACAGGCTTCACAGAGTGCGTGGTAAAGAAACCACCAGCATTGTTGCCGCCATATCCGTCTTTCAGAATAGGGATGCCGAGTTCTCGAGCCGCGGCCACTATGTTCTCTGATGGGTGGGTCAGTTTAATGCGAAGTATGGGCCTAGCTCAACAGGTTGGCTTACTGATGCTTGGCCACCAGAATGGGGAGTAGCTGGCGTGAACAGCACCCTGGGTGCCGCGAGACGAAGCCTCCCAGGTCGCGCCAAACTCTTGCGCTACATCAGCGTTGGGACGGGTGAAGATTTCGCTCTGCAAGTTGTCAGGACGCTGTAAGCCAAATCCAAGAGCAACCTATCAAGCTTGTTTACCTTCTTGAAGTTCTTGAAGATCTCTGTCCAGCCCCAACCACTGTTGCCGAACTCTTTCCAGCGGTCAAAATCACCAGAAGAACCCCTGACGAAGACCATCTGGTTGATCAAACTACTACCTCCGACACCGCGTCCGATCGGCAGGGCGATCGCCCTGTTGCCGGTGGCGGGGGACGGCGTGCTCGTGATATTCCAGTTATATTTGCTGTTGGCTGCATTGGCGCCGTTGCCGGGAATCGTGATGAGGTCTTCCTGGTCATCACTGCTCGGTGTTAGTTGTGTCCAGCCATGTGTCGAAATAATGGTTGTCTTACAGCTGGCCGGCTTCGAGCAACAGAACTCGGAACACTGTACACGGTATTATTAGTGGGCATGTCAAATGAAGCTTTGTCGGACCATCACTAACATCCGTTGGCCGTCAGGCGGTTGGCCAGCGTTGTGCCGGCGACGCCGGCGCCGACAATGATGTAGTCATACGCATCCTCTTGACGGGTCGCGGGAAATCGGCGGTGCACATCAGACGACGCTAACCCGGGGCTGAGACCAGGCTGCTCGGCTGAGGGCAGCGCTGCCACAAGGGGGACCAATGCCAGAAGAGCCGCGATATGCATGTCGAGTGGTAGTTTGATGATTGCAGATCGGTGAAGATATCAAGAAACGTCCAGAGATAAGTTAGCCAAGATACCACGCTGGTTTATGTACAGATTCAGCATGTGAGATTGGCCCTCGCCCTACCCCTCTTTCCTGTTTCCCTGGCTCTACATGAGGCTGAGCGCAAATGACCGCGTAAGGCTTGAGCGTGTCAGAAACAGGGCCAGGAGCACGAGAGGCCATCCCCGTGCGAACTTCCCGACGCCAGTAAAGGACCCCTGGAGTGGGACGGCACGGCTCTGGCGTGAACCTTGTCGCCGGCTACGACGTCAACCACCTGATGTTCCGCACGGGGATGCTGGAAATCCATCTGAACAGGCCGAAGCGAGCCATCCCGGAGGTGTATCGAAGAGCCTATGTGGGCCATGTGGGGGCAGTGTGGAATCTCGTCCATCACCTCATCTGCCACGTTTTTGGTGCCTGGACTCCCTGGAGCGTCGTGCCATGCCAAGCCGATTGAGATAAATGAGTTAGATGGTGCCTTGTCCCGGCTACACAGCCTGTAAACAGCAATGTGGCCCAAACTCAAGTTGATGAAGACCCAATCAACGGCGATCGGCATTGACGACACAACCGAGGTGCCAGGGTCCAGTCCGGGGCACCAACGGAGCCTCGTTCAACTCAAAGGAGGAGGTGGGCCTGGTCATCCGGTAGCTAGAGCATACATGTGCCCCATCACGCCCCGGCAGTGCGATGTTGACTGCTTGGAATTGCTTGATAAGCTCGCGTCATCCTCCTTACCCTTTAAGGCAGTTTTTACTTTCGGCATCTTGGTGGTACAACATGCAAATGCCAAGCGGTGCGTCGTCATTCTCGGCCAAAGAGTCTCTGAGTGGGCTCGGCTTCCGCTGATGCTGTGCCGTGCTCCGGTCCGAAGTTGTACGAGAATGGGTGTAAACACGACCAACCCCTCAGTTGACTGCAAACTGCCCATGAATGCAATCCACCCCGGTTTTTGATTGCATTTCGGCAGTGCGGAGAGCGGAACAGCCGGACCAAGCGCCTACGCGGCGCCTGAGCTTTGTAGAATACGGCTTTCTGAGGACTGTTGTGATATGTCGACGGTCGAGAGGACATTGTTCCGAAAAGATACAGTACACGACTGATAACGAGACACCCTGCATCGAGCGGATCTTTTTAATACCTTTGGAAATTTTGCGAATTTACCCTTGTCATCTGCAGTCAAATCTGTCTTTATCCACAGCCTATACGATCTGATGCCTCGGCAGGGCTAAATGATATTGAGCCCCCAGAGTGACTTGTTGATTGACCTCGTTATACTTGAAGCGATGAGGCATTGAAGATTCATGGCCAGTGACAAATGCCATGATCTTGATTATGCTTCCGACTTGGACTCGTGTAAGCAGAAGGAGATGGAGAAATTCAGGCAGAATCCTGTCTCGGAAGAAACGGCAACGTCTCCAGAAAGTGTCTATCAGCCAGATGTCATCGTCACACCCAGCCCACCGTTCGAACCTTGGGAGAAGCCTGAGAATGACTTTGATCTTTATCCAGGGGTTGAGTTAGGTCATGAACTGTGTGCCTTCATTGGCATATATCCTGCTGACAGGCCGTTAAATTCATCCAGCCGAGTATGAAGGCCAGCCCTGTTCGATTCATTGGATGCACTTGGATGCACGGGGCTTGAGCGACTGAAGGGGAACTAGCCGTTTGATTCACTCTGTTCAAGGCGCTCGCCAATAGCAACACGCAACAGACGTTGCAAGCAGAGCTATTAAATTGTTGGGCGAACTCTTCTTACTCAAGATGAGAAGGCGAGGAAATATAAAAGCAATGGCAGCACAATGTTTCAATTGATTCATCACGATCCCGACAATTCTGTTCGACAACCCCCAAGAAAACGCATTTCTATATCATTCAAGACTTCGCTTGATTCCTCATTGATCCAACCATGAAGACTGCCTACCTCATTATTTCGGTCTTCTTCACTGTATCCTTCGCCGCCCCCAACCCAGCTGCAGTCAAGGACGTTGTGGAAGATGGCCTCGAAAAACGCCAAAGTTTCGGCTGCGGCGCCTGCAAGAACGGCAAAAGATTTTGCTGGAGCTGTACCTCTGGCGGATGCAGTGACAGACACGAAAACTGCTAGATCAGGCTATTCTATCGAAGCTTGACGTATTGAATGTAAGATACATCACATGGATTTCAGGTCAGGACGAAGTTAATGGCAAGAGTCGTGCAAATAACTTAGGCACTCGATGCACACTCTGAACAGTAGGACCAGTGGGCTTGATGTCCATGTCTGTTGTGGTCGTGTCATAGAAACAGCCATGATCTTGCGTCCTGGATGCTTCAGGCAATATAAATACTATGACTGTCAGTATTTCGAGGTGATTCAAGCCGTTGCACAAAGTAATGACACCCCTCTCGGGGTCCTATGATGAATGAACTGTACTTGGCGAACGTTGTCACTGAGCACTCAGCCATCATCATGTTACGGTCGAAGTCGCCTGGATACTTGCCAAGACGGATGCAACGGGCTGGCTTACGATGCTCTCATTGAAGGCAAGCATGTGACAGCCATGTCAAGGTACTCAAACCCCCTTGGATGGCCGGAGTCTGTCGACTGGCACTGGGATGATGCGTGACAGCTAACGCGTTTGCTGATCGCTTTTGAACGCTAGCTGGTCTTTTTTGTAGTTCCATTCTTGCAATTGGAAAACTAAGCGGGTACATCACAACACGTTGAGGGCCAATGCAGCATGAAGTGGTCCCGCGGGTTCGCGACGATATGTTGAACACCGGAACGATGGGTTTCACGGGCTGTAACAACACGGTAATTACAGGACACTGCCTCACACTCCCCGGGCGTTTCGACCATCAGATCAGGGAAGTGATTTGTCCGTACACGAGGGCTTCGAAGCTTCTCCTTCCCAATCCGACACCATGGCGCGGTTCTATGGCTAGGTATTCGACGGCGGCATTTGCTACCAATATAACTCAAATACATGCTCCAACGCGGCGCCACTCATGTATCAGGTTGCTCGTTGATTTCGTAGAGCTACTCGATCAGAACTCGCGCTGCGCGTGCGTCGTATGCCGAAGGCAACCAGAGTGCTGGGTAAGAATACCACCAAATGTCATCATACACGCGAGGGGCCAAGCTGACTGGTTAATCTTGTTCCGGCAGCAGAGCGCCTTGGGTCATTCTTGGCTGGGCCACCTGCATCACGGAGGGCTGCCAATCTGAGGCCGCCTACTTACAGGATCTTTGCACCAGCAATTGAAGACAAATGAGGGTTGATGGTTCTGTGCTCATCGCCCGCGCGGGCTTTCCAGCGCCACACCTAGGGTGCCGATCATCCCCAGGTCTGACGGCTGGCCCCTTGGCCCCTGGTCATGACATCAAAATTGGCCGCTTGTGTGCCCGCGAAGGAATGATCGTCGTGCCGTCCGACGAATCGCCCAGCGCCGTAGGATTTACTGAACCAGATTAGGACTGCTGTGCCTCTCCGCCACGCCGAGTAAGGGCATTGATCGAGCCTCTCGTAATCCTCCGATCAGCCCTGTAGACAAGTCTGGTCGTGAGACTTGTGATCATGACGTTGCCAGCACCCCTTGGCGAGGCGGTGTTCTCCTGCTGGTTGGGCGTGAGACATGCATTGTAATCCCAAGGGAATGCAGTGAAGGCGATGGGAGAGAGGATAAATTGGCAGTGTGCCTCGATCATCGTCGACGGACTGACAGCATCTTTACCACGAGTCGAGTTACAATAGAAATCAGCGCAACACACGTCTTCAGTCGAAGACGAGATCTATCCTTGTTAATCTGAACCTTCATACCAACACCTAAAAGCAACATCAAGTCATCAACGACGATGCCTGCCATTGCTCACGAGATTGCCGGCATCCTCAAGCCTCGCCAACGCTTCGGCAGCAATGACGATGATTTCGGGAACGACGTCCGCAACACGAGTCGGGCCATCAGCACCGGTATCATCGTCGCCATCGTCCTCGGCGCTGTTGCTTTTATCGCCTTCTGCATTGGCATCTGCTGCTGCGTCCACCGGAGCAGAGCCAAGAAGGCCCGTATCAACAAGGACGTTGCCAAGTACAAGCTCCCCGACAACCGATCCAGCATTGGCACGCACCCCGGCGGTGTCGCCAACCCGAACTGGGCCGACTCGAACGCCGCGCCGGCCGGGACCGGCTATGGCAACGCGTATGGAAACAGTTACGGATATGATTACGGAAAGGATCACACGTACTCTGGCGGGTTCGGACACACGATGAACGCGGGAGGCGATGCTGGGGCGACGGCGCACAGCGGCGGCCACAGTGGTGGCCATGGAGGTGGACACCACTGAGGCACGTTCAATGACAGTGGCGATGTACGATAGTTCTATGTATATCACGTATCATGACTTTATGGAAATGCGTCAACAGGATGCCAATTGAAGACACTGTGAATCTGTGAACACCACATCACGGGATAGCCCGACCACCGGTCGCCGAGGCAAGCCAACATGTCGAAAGGTTATAAATTACGTCTAAAAATGAACGCTCTCGTGATCATCATGCAAAATCCACACCACATTCTACAGACGGAGAAAACGCCAGCCCATCTACGCCTGGACAGGCGTAATGGTCGCCTCCTCATGCAAGTCCCTGCTGCTGAAGCCCGCCGAGAGGGTAATCTCGCCCTCGGGGATGAGCCACTGCTGCGCGCCAACGTCCCAGTAGCTGAGATCCCGCCTCATGAGGCCAAACTGCACCGCCTTGGTCTCGCCCGCGGCGAGCGGCACCTTTTCGAACCCGCGCAGCTGCCTGACGGGCGTGCCGGCGGGGGTGGCGCCGTCGGCGAAGCTGACGTATAGTTGCGGGATGGCGGCGCCGTCGACGTCGCCCGTGTTGGTCACGGACAGAGTGACGTTGTAGATGACGCCCCAGAGCTCGGGGTTGCCGCCGGGCAGGATGGGGACGTCGGCGGGGCGGGAGGTGATGTCGGTGGTGAGGGGCTCGGCGTGGAGGTCGGCCATTTCGAAGGTGGTGTAGCTCAGACCGAAGCCGAACTCGTAGAGGACTGAGATGTTGTGGGCGTCGAAGTAGCGGTAGTCAATCTCGAGCTTCTCCTCGAACCACGACTGCCAATCGTAGACACCCGTCGTGTTGATGGCGGTCGTCGGCGGCGCGTTGTAGTCGCTACCATTGTTGGCGATGGTGTAGGGCAGCCTGCCTGAGGGGTTGACGTCACCGTAGAGAACATCGACCAGCGAGTGGCCGGACTCTTGGCCGGGGAAGTGAGCTGCGACGATGGCCGTGACGTTAGGGTGCTTGGCGAAGGGCAGGGTGTTGACGCCGGACGAGTGGGTAATGACAATTGTGTTGTTGCAGTCCTTGGCCACGGACTCGACGACTTCATTGCCGTTCCAGTCGACATCAAGGTGCTGGCGGTCAACAGCCTCCTCGGCCCACGTCTTCAGGAATACGAGGCAGACTTCAGGGGGCGTGGGAACCCAGAGATCGGTGACGTTGGAGTTGATGATGAGGGTGTTGTTCAGCCACTGCTGAACAAGGGCGTTATCCTGCGCAGCACGCTCCTTGATGGCCTGGAGAGGCGAGACAAGGTACGTGAGCCTGCCAGTTCCCGAGCCACCACCCGCCACGAGGGTACCGTACTCGAAATCGTCCTGGTTGTAGAAGCCCTGTGTATCCTCGCCGGCATCGTTGCCGAACACGGCAATCGACTTGGGCGCCTTGAGGGGAAGAGCCTTGTTCTCGTTCTTCAGCAGCACAGTCGCCGCGGCACCATGCTTGCGGATGAGACCGGCGTGGTCAGCGCGCACGTCGCGGCTCCTCTCGCCGGTCAGGTTGAACTCGCGCAGCCACGTGGACCTCGGCGAAAAGGTGTTGAGATCAGCGGTTGAAGGATCGGTGCTGGGGAAGTCGCCGTCCTGGCCGAGCCAGTAGTAGGGGGTCATAATCCTGAGAATCATGTCATCAATGCGTGAAACATCGATGGTGCCGTTGTTCACACCGGCGGTGACGTTGCCGCCGAAGAACGAGCCGGCCTCAGGCGTCATGCCGTAGGAGCCAAGGCCACCGGGCATGTTCATGTCAAGACCGCCCTCGATGGAGGCAACACCAGAGTGAGTGGCGCCCCAGTCGGACATGACGTAGCCCTGGAAGCCGAGCTCCTCCTTCAAGAGGCCGTTGAGAGCTTTGGAGTTCTCGCAGGCGTACGAGCCGTTGAGTCGCTGGTAGGCGCACATGAAACTCGCGCAACGGGCGTGGACGGCGTTGGCGAACGGCCACATGTAGAGCTCGTGCATGGTGCGGTCGTCAATGTTGGCCGAGAGGGCCTCAAAGGTGACGTCCGTCAGGGTGCCGTTGGGGTCGTAGATCGGGTTCCTCAGAGTCTCCTGCTCATTGCCGATCCAGTGCTTGGCCGTGGCCTGGACACCGGCGTCCTGGTGGCCTTGGATGGTCTGCTCCATGCCGATACCGGTGAGGTAAGGGTCGGGAGAGAAGCCCTCCCAGTTGCGGCCCGAATAGGCAGAGCGACCGAGAGGACCGGCAACAGGAGAGAGAGCAACGTGGGCGCCCTTGGCGCGAAACTCCTTGCCCATGGCGAGGCCGCGCTCGTACATCAGCCCCTTGTCCCAACTGGCAGCGGCCGACACACCGGCCGAGAAGACGCTGGCGTAGTCGGCGACACGGATAGACAGGGGTCCATCCTGAAGGCAGAGGCCGTTGAAGCCGAGGCGAGGTATCGCGACAATGTTGCCGACGCAGGGTCCCGGTTGACCAGTGACCATGTCAGCCTTCTCCTCGAGGGTGAGCTGATCGATGAAGTTCCAGGCCTTGGCCACGGCATCTTCCCAACCTCCAGCGCCAGTGGCATTGGCTGGACATTGTTAATTTATGTATGCTGTCATGATGGTTCCTCGACTCACGTGAAGGCAGGACAGCGGGAGAGTGTCCATAAGGACCAAGAATGGTTGTGTTGAGAGGCTGAACATAACTGAAGGCATCTTCGCCACGACCTTGTGTGTCATACGCCTGCGCGTGAACGCCAGGCGCCAGCAAGAGGCCCGAGAAGATCAAGGCAAGAGAGGCGGCCATGATAGAGGCTGAGGCTTTGGGTTGGTGCTGTGAGCATCTTCCTTGACTTCAGTCTACAGCGCGAGACGTGACCCTTATATAGGTAGGTTGACGATCTCCGTGTAGTCGACCAACGTAGCCCAAATACAGCTCCGATGAGCTCTGGGTAAGATGTACGGTATGACAAACCAGTACGATGCAGAGGCAGATCTTCGCCATGGTTCCCCCCGCCGACGTCAACACGCCACGACTCATGATAGACCGGAATCTCCAAGCAGGGCCGATAAGTCCCCAGACCGAGCATCGTCGTGTGGAGCTTGGAGGCACGCGACTGGGTACCGGCGGCGGCGGGGCGAAAGCAAGCTCGGGGGCATGATGTAGCTCCTCTGGACGAATTGGAAAGCTTGGACAGGCGGCCTACTGCTTGGAGTGAAGGCTGTTGAACGGATCTCGGCCTAGGCAGAGTACGGAGAATCTCGGAGTATCTCCACATGATCCCCAGAGACTCCAGCAAACGTTGTGCTCGATGGTTGGATCTGTGGAGGTTTTCCTCGAGCCACGCGGGGAAAACCCCGACCTTCTTGGCCGATATCCCCGCAAAACACCACACGTCGGGCCGATGTCTTGTTGGCACTGTTCATCGTCACCCCCGAGTCAGGGGCTACGTTCTGACCACTCCCAGGTCGTCCGGCTGCGGCCTAGAACGAGTTTGCGATGAAGACCGCCCGAGGATTACCCTGTCGTGTTGTGATTTGCTGTGAACCATCAAACGGCCTGGGATGTCTGTCATTGGAATCGACTGTCGACAGAACTTTTAGCCGAAGGAGGGGGATTGTCCTGTCCATGACGAGCGGCGAAGCCGACGAGAATGGGTGCCGATCCTGGCCAAGACGGGAGATGAGCGGCCCCAACGGTCAAGGACCGTAGTGACGCCGTTTGTATCCAAGCTGGAAAAACATGTTTTTTTGTTTGGTCCCCACGGGTCGCTTCATCCCAGGCCGTTCACCCATTGGAAGCACCAAGACCTGGGGTACAGCTCAGGTGAACCCCGGAATGGACATTTGGTAGATTGCCGTGCCATTCAACCGGGCAAGCAGTGGTCTTCTGCCTTCCTTTCGAGCCGTGGAACATCCATCTCCGAAGCCCAGGTGTCCGAAGAGAGCATTGACATGTCTGGCAGGCCACTTGGCGTCGCGCGTGTGTGCTCTGCCGAGCGATAATGCCCGATGCATCCGTGGCTTGGCACGGCAGTTGTGGACACCCCAGGGATGAGGGGGAGTAAATCTCCCGCCCAAGGTGATCCGTGGCGTTCGGGGCGTACATGGTCAAGACGGCCAAGGGTCGGGCGATTGGGGACCGAGTCGACGAGACCTTGCCAAGGGCGGCCCGCCACGTGCGGCTGGGGAAAGGGACTGGAGGCATTAGATGGGTTTCTTTAGCATTCTCTCGTGGGTATCTCTTGCATCTGAGACGAGTGTCTCAAAGGGTTTTGATTGTACTGATTGTCGACTGTCAAGCAATAGATGACCGAAGCTATCCCCGAGATGGAGCTACAACCCCATAGCCGGTGACTGAACTGATTTAGCCGATGCAGGCTGTTTGAGACACCCCAAGTCGCTGTCGCGCTCATCTATTTGTAGCAAACTGATAGGCGAGGGAATCTTATATTCAGAGACTGTTCATCAATTATGCTTGGCGAGAGCCTCTCTTTTCTTCTTTCAGGCAACCTGGCGGTCGAAGGGGAATATTAGCATGTCCAAACGAGGGGTAGAAGGAAAAGCGTTCAGGAAGGGCTAACGTTCAGGAAGAGCTTTCATAGTGTTCCCGCGTGTATAAATGAGAAGGCCGACACGCCAAGTGGGAGTTGAGGATGATTTCCAACGCAGCGACAATTCGCCAACAAAGTTCTGATCGCACACCGAGCTCATTCGCCCATCATGAAGCCTAGCCTTCTGCTCCTCGCCGCCGCCTCGGGCGTGCTGGGCTCTCTCAACTGCACGACGACCGGCCCCCTCATCAGCTACTGCTGCCCGAACACCAACTCCGAGTCGGTCAAGACGTCGCCCGTAGGGGCCCTGATCATGCTGGGCTGCGCCGCCGACCGAACGAACAAGTAGCCCATCCCATGGTCTCTCTGCTGTAGAGGGAAAGGTTCTGACGCACCGCACAGGAACTGGTACTGGAACTGGAACGGCCTGTACACGCCGTACACGACGCAGTTGCGCGACTGCTACCTCGGCAACATGGCCTTCAACGACCTCAAAGGTATGTCCACTCGATTTGATTCACCGAGTACGAAAACAGCAGCTCGTGCTGACGAAACAGTCCTCCCCGACTGCATCGACGACCAGTTCGTCCTCGACTACACGCGCGGCCGCTCCGGGCCCCTCGACGCCTGCAACCCCAACTGCGTCAGCCAGAACAAGTTCCCGCCCGACGTCTACTACGGCGACAAGCAGACGGGCCACAACATGGCCGTCGACTTTCCCCGCCCCGGGGCGCCGCCGGGCCCCGCACCAGGACCGGGTCCCGGCCCCAGCCCGGGTGTGCCGCCGACGATCCCGCCCGGCGTGCCCCCGACGGTGCCGCCGCCGGGGGGCAGCTGCGCCGGGCTGTGGGGGCAGTGCGGCGGGCAGGGGTGGAACGGGGCCAAGTGCTGCTCGCAGGGGACGTGCCGGGCGCAGAACCAGTGGTATTCGCAGTGTGTGAACTGAGCGTGGGAGCTGGGGGGAAGGGCGGGCAGAAGGACGGGGGGGTAAAGCGGAAGAGTAAGGGCGGGCAGAAGGACGGGCAGAAGGACGGGCAGGGGAAATGAAAGGCAGTGGGTTGGTCAAGCCGGATATTCGTCGGTCTTTGTCACGGCATCTCGTTTGCGTGGGAATGCTGGTCAATATTAGTGATCACAGTCAGCCGAGAGTTCGCTTCGTGTGTTCCAGACTCTTCTGCCGAGAGGCATCATACGATGTGGCCGCGGACCCACTCTGGGTGAGGTTGTCGTGACTGAGCCGCAAAGTTTGACGGTCACGAAGGGTGTTTAGTCATGTAAGGGACGGCAAGAGAATGTCCGGGACTGATGAGCCACAGGAACGAAAGTGAAGTGTTGATGTGTTCGATTCGGTGCTGATCATGAAGAGAGGGCCATCCTTTGACACCTTACCCAAGGTAAAGTACCTACCTCTTTAAGGTATGTTACTAACCTCAGGTACCTAGGCAGAGTAAGGTGCTCATGCTCATGTCTTCAGCACAGTCAACCTGTGGCACTTGGATCGACTCTCCCGTGAGATACTCCAGATCCCCCCAATCCATCGCTTGCCATTTGCTGTCATCCACCGGAGATGCAGTCCACGCACGCGACATCGTACCACGACCACCCCAATCGGGGCCAGCCGAAGCGGGTCCGGGGTGGGCTGAGGTCCCACGATGCATCTGCTGACCCTAGACGGCGCCATGATATGACACGCGGAGCCCCGGACGCGGCCCAGGGCAAGTCACGATGAATGCGTCGGCCTCAAGCCCTATATAACTGTGTCTGGAGCTGTTGGGTGAATTTGACCCCCAAGATAGTAGCAACTAAACAACAAGGTACATCCTCAACTCAAAAGACACAAATCAAACCCCAAACCAAAAAAAAACAACCATGGCGTCAGCGCCAACACAACCCAGCGCCGACGCGCAGCACTATCCAAAACACTTCCCCAACATGCTCAAGAGCTACCTGCCCTCGCACCACGAGGCCTTTCGCCGCGTGCTCTGGACCGGCCTGCACTCGCAGCTGACGACCATCACGGTGCCCGAAGGCGGCAACATGGTCGAAGACGTAAGCTCCCTTCTCCGTTGAGTAGCCCATGTTGCGGGAAAGATGTTGCAAAATGTATATTGACAAACAACCGAACAGATCCAGTCCGCCGACCAGACCATCACCATCACGACGGGCTCGGCGCTGGCGCAGGTCGGCTCGCGCAACAGCCCGCGGCAACAGGCGCTGCGGGCGGGCGACATGCTGACGGTGCCGGCGGGGGCGCCGTGCGAGCTCGTCAACACGGGGCCGATGCCTCTGGGGGTGCTCCTCGTGACGTCGTGGTGACATGTCCTTTTTCTTTTCATTTTTACTTTTTTTTTTCATTTTCTTTTCATTTTCGACTTCTTCATTTTCGACTTCTTCATTTTCGACTTCTTCATTTTCGAGTTATTTCTTTCGCCTTCTTCCAGATGTCGCCCAACTAGATGACGCGGAACATGTTGGACTTGACGCCGCGCTTGAGGCCTTCGGCCTTGCCGTCTTCGTACTCGACGCCGGCGGCGCCGCCTTCGCCGGAGATGCCCTCCATCTTGAGGCGGAGTTCGGCGTCGAGTTCGGCCATGGTTTTGCGCTGGGCTTTTGGGGCAGGCGTCGATGAGGCATGCGTCGATGATGCGTGCGTCGATGATGGCTCTGCGTTTGGTGGTTCGGCATCGGCAGACGCGGGGGATGTCGACGATCGGGGGGCCGAAGACGATGACGAGAGGCGCGCCTGTGGGACGAGCACACGGCTGACGCGAGGCACGAAACGGTTCATGAGCGGTGGGAATCAATTGGCGTTATGGCGTACGGGGGGATGAGCGTACTCTGGGGAATAAAAAGACGGGAGCATTCAATGGAAGGCGTTTGCAGATGATTCCTTTTTGACTGTTCACTTTTAACTCAGCACAGCAATCAGAACATTCATGACATGTTGTGACGTCAGGACTCAGCACCTGGTGCTCGACAACTCCAATAGAAATCAACAACCAAATGAATCAGTCCAGTCTGTATCAATAGTTTTATGAGTCTCGGCCATACCATCTAGGCCATCCATCTGTAACACAGCCCAGCCTCGGCTCCGACATGGCCGAGCTCCACCGATGAAGCCTTCGCAACGGGCTTCGTCTTGTTGTCTCAAACGTCTTGGGCGTCCACCATCTTATCAGATCATCTGATAAGCGAAATAACGGGCTCCATCTTATCTGATGCGCCGAACCGCCGAGCATCACCACAACCTACGAACAACTAATAAAGAGGAAAAAGAATTAAAAAATTTACAAATGCCGCCCACACCTCGCCTGCGCCGCCCCCCTTCCGGCCTAGCCTCCTCGTCCCCCTGGCACCCAACACCCAGCATCCAGCACCCAGCACCCAGCACCCAGCACCCAGCACCCAGCACCCAGCACCCAGCACACCAACACACACACACAACAGAAGCGGTCCACCTCGCCTCAAAACGGCATGGTTCGACGCCTCGCCGCATGCTCACGGCCAACAGCAACACCAACAGCAGCACGAGGGCCCCTCTGCATCCCGCGCAGCCGAGGCGCCAGGGGCAGAGTCTGCACGCCAACGCAGCTGAGAAGGGGTGCCTGGGGCCTTGGGCGCACAGAGGGACACCCGGTGGGTTCTGTCAGGAGAGCAACAGGAGACCGGGGTGTGTGCTCGTTCCGGCCCCATCCTCCTTCGCGCCTTGTGATCATGGAACCCCCGGCGCGTTAAAAGCTCACCCATCCCCCTCCCTCTGGCCGATCGCTGTGACTCCCCTCCTCCCACCTCCAGAAGCCTCAGCAGCCTCCAGAAGCTCCAGAAGCCTCCAGAAGCTCCAGAAGCCTGCCACGCACACCTCACCGACAACCAGCAAACAATGAA